AGACCCTCACCAAAAACGAAGAAACCAGGGGAACTAAAAAACAACAAAGGCGACGCGCCTCTTATTTTTTCCAGCGAGGACTCCTTGCGACTTTCAAGGGAAGTGGACAATTTGACTACCATCAAAAGATCATTTCAGGTCGATGCGCTTTCTGCCTTGACACTGTCATGTCCAATGGAGTGTGGGAAGACCACCATCTTGAAGAGCAAACAAAAAGTCCAGCTGCCAGTGCCTCACTTCGCTTCGGGTTCTTGTTTTGCCCATCCCCTGCTCTCTAGAGGCTGCAAGAAGTCCACTTGCTGATCAGCGGCCCATACGATCAATGTGTTTTTGATGAATCCGCAGAGCAACCAAAAGTGATACACTCCCTCAGACTAACATGGAAGCTCCCAGAAGGCCTCTGCAAATGGAACCAAGCTAGGCTGGGGGAGGGTAAACCTGCCTATTGATCAGCAACGTGCAACTTGAGGGCCACTTGACCACCAGAGCCACCCTGAGAAAGATCAGCGTATCCAGCACTGGTGGTGAGGTCACAATTCTAGCTCTCTTGCAAGCAACGCTTGCACGCACGAATTGGTTGATGATCATCCCCACCAACCAAGTGAAAGTGCATCTGAAGATCAAACCGAGGGCACTGGTAAACTCAGGTGAGTCAGCATCTCTCAAGTGGCCTTTCCATGCGCTCCCCTTTGGACGGGTCGTGGAATTCCCGGGGTAATTTTTCGCATCCGACTTGCCCTGCATCTTTCAGGGGGCCAACCCCACTAAGCTTCTTCACCTCCTTTGCTTCCCTTTCAACAGGAACAGAGTTGGCATCAAAAAACCTCCCGCGAACCCCCCCCCGTCCCCCCAAGACTTGACGGGCGCCTGTTCGCCCCACATCTTGCCCGCGGGCGTCTGTTCGCCCCACTTGCCCTGGCGCATGCGCATTGAACTTGATTTGACTCTCGGCCTCCTTTAGCCCCATGTCAAAACCTCACCATTCGTGCGGTACCATGTGACACTTTGGGATGATTGCTCCGGAAGGACTTCCTGGCCTTGGGGCCAGCGATCGACTTTCCGGAGATGCAGCACAAAAAACAAACAGCAGGTCATCGCGGCTGTGAAAAAAAAAAAACGACTTGACTTCAACGAGAAAAGTCCAACTTTGGCAACGCGGACACGCCCCTTGAGCTGAACTTGGTGGGCCTCGGTCGCGCTAGGCTTCAGAACTGGTCGTTGCCTAGCTATCAAGGGAGGCGCCTGCAAGTTCAAGCATTGAGAGACTTGCAAATAGCCCGCCTCTCCCAAAAAGCCCTTGATGGTTCATTCGGGTCGGAATTTTTCTGTTGGGAAATGGATCCCGTCTTCGTTGCTGAACGAACCCCCGAGACATGTTTCGCCGGGGAGTTGGAACCCACGGTGCCTTTTCAATGCGGATCTAAATCAGCTGGCAAAGTGATTGCTGGAATGTATCCTAGCGACCCATCCACTTCCTGTCGACTTGTGTGATTCGTCCGGTTCGGCCGGGAGACACCGGCCATCCCGCATGCCATCTGACAATGGATCGGCCAACTTGCCCACGGGTGCAGGGCGTTCTCCAAGAAAAGGTCTTGACAGGGCTCCGAATACCCCGAGAAAACCACGACACAAGTGCAACGCGCACACGCGAGACGCTCGGGTCCGGTTGAATCTACTGTCTTCTTCTCTTAGCCGAGCGATTGGGAAGCTGGCCAGGTGTTGTTTGCTCCTGCAAGGCACGTCAAATCTGAACCTAGCCGTTCCCTGCTTGCCGCCTTAGACCAATCCTCCTGGCCCTGGCAAAGAACGGAAACGGGAAACCTAAACCTGTAAAGGAAGTTTTCCAGCATCCAACTCGATCTTGGGAACCACTGGTCAGAAGGCATTGGGAAACCTGTTGACTTGTTCTGGCTGAATCCAAGAGCTCGACCCTGCCGTATCTTCCATGCTCAAAACAAGCGAGACCCGCTGTTGATCAATACTGATGATGAAAACATAGAACGAGGCACCATTAGAAGGGGGTCTGGTATTGACGTACTGCTACGTGAGGGCAGACATGGCTCCCTCGCACGCAAGGCCGAATTTACTTTTATAAAGGTCACCTGTCCACAACGAGGAACTACTTACCGTCTTGCTCACTAACCCGAAGCGGGCATTGAGTGGGACGACGCCATTCACGCAAGCGAGGTCCACCATAAACTCGGACACTTGGCTCGACTCTCTGAGCACGGAAACAGGGATCCTTACATTATACACCTGAACATTGCCTTGTATGAAGGTGTCCCTTTATTTTGGTGTTGAAAAGGCCATGCTTCAAATGTTTGCGAAATGTATCTTTTAAGGAGCCCCGGGAAACCACGACGAATCTGAACCTTCCCATCGCCATTTTTGTCCTGCCTTGACAGACCAGGCATCGTCCTGGCCCTAGCGCAAGGGTTTCTCAGCCACGGGAAACCTCTGAACAGGCTGTAGAATGCCTAAGGATCCAACCAACTCGATCATTCTGAGAACCGGCCAAGAAAACAAACAAGCATTGCACACAGATCCGGATTCCGGCCTGGGCACTCACACCTTTGGGACAAAAGCCGCCTGTGCCAAAGTCACTTAGCGATGACAAGCCGCGCCGGCCCCAAGCAACGAACTCGACCATCGGCCAAGGGGGAGGAATCCTGCCCATTCACACGAGCAAGTAACGCCATCTGCTCGGACATCTGCTAGTTGGGTGTGGCTCAGAATTAAACGATCGGAGGGGAAAACTGCAGGTGTTGGTCCATGTTTCCACTTACCAGGGCAACCATTTTGGAATTCCGGTTTCTTGAGCCACAGCCAATTCCCTTGCACCTCGCTTGAATGGAAGAGACGGAGCTCGCAGCCCCTTTTGTCTGGTTGGATCTTTGAACGAGCGTCTTCACCCTGTTAGTTAAGCCCCCAAAACCAGGGAAAATCTGTCACTTCCCCTCAGCCCCCCAGCCCTGCTATTCGCTCCCGCCGCCTTTGCAGTCCAGGAATCCTCATGGCCCTGGCAAAAGCGAAAGCTTGGGGCCAACGCGATACTTCTGAACCTCCGAATGTCGGATGCCGAACTCAATAGGCAAATGCTTGACAACCATCAGGGCACACCTTATGTCCTTTATCTTTCTCCAAGCCCTGTACCCCGTCCATGCCTTCCATTGTTATGTGCTCAAACAAGCGAGACAAACGGACTCTTCATAAACCTGCAGCTGATGCCATTCACACTAGCGAGTAACGAGGTCTCCGCCATCTGCTGGTTGCCTGCTTTACACGTTTCCTCTTGAAATGAATCTGCAAAAAGCTCGCAATTGCCACCTGCACCACAAGGGCAACACACACGCACACACATGAAACCTGGACACTTGGATGGACTCTGCACTAAAGCCCTCAAACAACAGAAAATCTAAGACTTCTTGACAACTATCAGGATTGGCAGCCTTCGTTAAACTCGACACCATGCCAACCTCTGTTTGGTAAAATAGATCACTGCTCATGTTGCTTGTCCCCCCAGGAAAAAATCCGCCCGCCAGGCTCCGACAAATCCAAACCCCGCCTTGCCAGGCCAGGAATCATCCCCCTGGCATGTGGGGTCATTGTTCGAACAATGCACTCGAAAGAATAACGCGCACACACGCACTGTGTCTCCCCCTCCCCCTCCTCTCCCCCTCCCAGGATCAATGACAAGAGGGGGAGGGGCTAATGGCTTGAAGAATAACAACTTTTTTCCTCAGCTCGCCTGGGCTCCACTCACACCCCTCCTTCCTAACCCCAACCTTCCAAACGCACACCCTTTCTGCCTGTGCGAAGACCAAGCTGGCTCTGTCTTTTTTTGAGACCGGCGCCTTTCGGTTCTCCTCTTGGTGCCAAAAAAAAGAAAAAGAATAAAAAAAAGGAAGAAAAGCAGGGCATGGTTGTTTGTTTCTCTCTTTTTTTCGGAGAAAAAAAAGCACAAAAACAACGGGGGGGGTGAAGGTACGAAGGTACCACCCACCCGCCGACGACGTCTCCCTCGCCTTCCAGGGCCAGGCGTCCTTCCCCTGCCGCCGTCTCCGGGCTCGACGGGCGCGCGCTCGCGCGGGGAATTGGAGGGAAGGTCACAGGAGGGCTCGAAGCGGCGAAGGAACTTTTTCCGGTTAATTGTTGGTGCTCTTGGCTTTTTTTTTCCGCGCCAGCTTTGGGTGAAAAATGGTGTAAGCCAATCTAAACCAGTATGCAGCTAGTTCGGAAGAAACTGACCCATCAAAAGGACACCGGCTGTTGTTCGGCCTTTTGGGGTTGGCATGAAGAACATCACCCAAAATGGAACATGGTGGGACAGAGCCATGTGGACGTTTTGGGTCCCTTCGGGGCACAAGCTTGTAATGCTTGCGGTGGGGTTTCTTTCCGCACCAAACAGTTTGGGCAGCGCCACAACTCAATCAAGGCAACAAATCAAAGTGTCAAAGTCGATCGCGCCCCTCATAGCACACATCTAACTCGATCACTGTGGGCTCACGTGAAAGCAAGACAAATACACGCAGGGCAGAACACTTCGGAGTCCCCAACTATGTGACGTTTTCGAGGGCACCAACTTTTGGGTTGGTTGTAAAATGAAACCAAAGAAATGAATCACACGAGATTTCCTTTCAAGGGAGTCCACAGAACTTCCACGATTCGCGGTTCCCCAGCAACCGGAGCTTCCCTCCCAGAAGCCGCGCCTGCCAGCTCTCCGCCTTCGGACCAAAAAAAGAGAAGGCGTCCAAATCGAGACTTGGGCTCAACGAAAAAGAGGTTACCTCCTTTGGATCCCCTGAAAACACCAACCTCAAGCAAAATACCGAGCCTCAATGCCGTACATGGCGAGTTGGAAAAAAATAACAAGCCCAGCAAGGACCAGAACCGCACAACAAAGCGAGCTCTCTTGCCCCGCGCCATGTTGTGAGCTCCGCTTCCGCATTTGCCGAGCTTGACGGGCAGCCGACGGAGGAGGAAAAAAAAAGGAAAAAGGAGCTGCGCGATGGGGAAAGAACGTTAGCAAAAACGTCTGAGCTTTGTGCATACGAAAATGACCTCCAAAAGCATGGTGGGTTGTTTTGCTGTTGGGGGCAACTAACGATTATGTCTGCTCTTTGCACGTGGGCTGGGTCAAGAAACGCTGGCTGTGTCTCTTGGGGTTGGCAAAAAAGGCCCCAAACTTTCCCCAATCATATCTCCCCCTTCTCTCTCCCCCTCTTGATTCTAAGAAACATCACTAAACAATCATCAACAATGAAGACATGGGTATGGTTTTTTTCAGAAGATCCCCAAAAAAAGTGTGTGGCTTTCCTTCGGGTGTCATTTACAACACACCTCCAAAAAGAGGCCAACCCCCAAAATGTGTGGCTTTCCTTTGGGTGTCCATTCAACGCACATCCAAAAAGGGGCCAACCCCCAAAATGTGTGGCTTTCCTTTGGGTGTCCATTCAACGCACATCCAAAAAGGGGCCAACCCCCAAAATGTGTGGCTTTCCTTTGGGTGTCCATTCAACGCAAATCCAAAAAGGGGCCAACCCCCAAAATGTGTGGCTTTCCTTTGGGTGTCCATTCAACGCACATCCAAAAAGGGGCCAACCCCCAAAATGTGTGGCTTTCCTTTGGGTGTCCATTCAACTCACATCCAAAAAGGGGCCAACCCCCAAAATGTATGGCTTTCCTTTGGGTGTCCATTCAACGCACATCCAAAAAGGGGCCAACCCCCAAAATGTGTGGCTTTCCTTTGGGTGTCCATTCAACGCACATCCAAAAAGGGGCCACCCCCAAAATGTGTGGCTTTCCTTTGGGTGTCCATTCAACGCACATCCAAAAAGGGGCTTTCCTTTGGGTGTCCATTCAACTCACATCCAAAAAGGGGCCAACCCCCAAAATGTATGGCTTTCCTTTGGGTGTCCATTCAACGCACATCCAAAAAGGGGCCAACCCCCAAAATGTGTGGCTTTCCTTTGGGTGTCCATTCAACGCACATCCAAAAAGGGGCCAACCCCCAAAATGTGTGGCTTTCCCTTGGGTGTCGATTTACAACACACATCCAAAAAGGGGCCAACCCCCAAAATGTGTGGCTTTCCTTTGGGTGTCCATTCAACGCACATCCAAAAAGGGGCCAACCCCCAAAATGTGTGGCTTTCCTTTGGGTGTCCATTCAACTCACATCCAAAAAGGGGCCAACCCCCAAAATGTATGGCTTTCCTTTGGGTGTCCATTCAACGCACATCCAAAAAGGGGCCAACCCCCAAAATGTGTGGCTTTCCTTTGGGTGTCCATTCAACGCACATCCAAAAAGGGGCCAACCCCCAAAATGTGTGGCTTTCCCTTGGGTGTCGATTTACAACACACATCCAAAAGGGGGCAAGCCAACTCCAAACCAACGACAGACCCACATCGTTACATCGAACCACTCGGCCACTCTGAGCCATCCCCATGTCCCGAGCCAGCGAAGCGAGCGCCTCGTACCAGTCCTTGGCCTGGCAGAGAGGATTCGAGCCGCGAGGGTGGGTTGAAGGGGGCGGTGAGAAGGGAAAAACTCACATCTGCAAAAAGGGGTTGCAATGGAAAAAGTGAGGTCTGCAAAAAGGGGGATATGAGCAACTTTGAGTATTTCGTGGACTCGCCATTAAATAGGCAGGCTGCATCCATTGTGGATGACAATCCTTGCCTCAATAGCATTCACGGTTGACACAAATTCCTAGGATTGATGACCCATCCCTGCCCAAGCCAAGTAAAGGAACCCGGTCTTTTGACCATGGCGCATACGGGTGCGAATGTGGTTTCCACACAAACAATCAGCCAGGGCAAAGTGTCCATTTCGGGACGCAAATTGAATTGTTGCGTCGGCATGCGTGTTCGAACCCACTCCCTTGCCTTGCCAATCCCGCCCTGTACCTTCTGCCTCAAATCGCTCCCTGAATGGCAGGTTGAGGCCATCATTTCAAACACGGGCGCCCTTGGAGATGGCGAATCGAATCTCGCATCTCGTCGGACATGAAGACCAAGCTAAATCATGTCCAAGGGTCCCCCAAACCGCGGTGTGCTCATGCTACAGAATCCTCGTGAAGCGGATAGATGTTCTTATCTCTCAGGCACGGCCATGCATGGGTCTGTCTTTTACTTGGTGGTCTGTCTTTTACTTGGGGGGGCCTGAGACAAAGGCACGCCCGTCTGCGTGTTCTCTTGGGTGTTTTAGGTTCCTCTGGTTGAGCTTCAGCCAGCCAAAGCGTTCATTAGCTCGCAAGCGAGAGGATTTGGCCATCCTTCTGCCTTAAGAAATCGTAGGGCCTGAAAGGTCGTCTAACACTTGCTGGTGCTCGAGGGAATCAAGCTAGGGCTCCCTTGAAAGGAAACCACACGGGATGGTTTGTCTTGGAGTCATCCATTGATTGTTTGTAGGGGTGTTGAAGTCAGCAATAGGTCATTTCCCCTTGAATCCACGACTTGGCACTTGGGCACTTGGAGCATGGTAACTGAAGGAAGCTGTTCATGTGTACCCAGGAGCATGGTTGACGAACAGGGCAGCGTCTCTTTAGAGAGCATGCTTCACTTTTGGACAAAACACCCAAAAGTCCCGAACAGTCTGGACAAAATAGAAAACTTGAGATCCCATCCCCGTTGGGTAAACTTGAAAATTATGGGATACTGAGCACCCCGCAGCAAAAAAAAAAAGCTCAGGTGATATCCCCAACAACATGCGGTGCTCTTTTTAGGGCTCGCACCACCCGCGAGCCCTCGCAGAACGTGGAACCCTCGTGGAACCTTACCTCAGGACTGCCCCGGACCACCCCGGAGCCGATCTGGGCTGAGACCCCAAAGCTTTCAGCTGGGGAAAAAGCAACCCTTGCAAACCAAAGGCCCGCAAAGTCGCATCCGGACCGCGCCTCGCTCCAAGCTTTGGTGCCCCATTTCGACTCCGAAGCTTCGTCGCCCTGGGATCTTCGACCAAAAAACGAACACCAAACATCGGTCTAGGGGTTGAGTCCAACCATTCCTTTCCATCATCGTGCTTTTCAACCGGCCGTTTTCCCGTTTCCGGAGACTTTCTAGGAAGAAGGATCCCTGGAAAGAACGGGGAAGGCACCCTTGGAATCAGGGATGAATCCTGATGGTTCACCAAAGTCCATGAAAAACCACAATGCAAACCACGAGGAACAAAGTCTGAGGATTCAAAGCAAAGGCTATGGTCAAAGCCTTCAAGGGTCCATGACCATAGCCAGGATGTTGGGCACTCTGTGTTGGACTCAAAGCATCACTCGGCTTGGATCGACCATTTGGGAGCGACTCTCTGGAGACCACCAGTCCCTCGCGTGGAATGGGATGCACTCTGAAGATCAATTGATGTGAAGCTGTGCTTCATCACCCCTCCCACGTCAGGTCTTGATACGGATAGCGTCTGAATGGACATGACCATATTGCTCTCTGGTGCAATTCAACTGACTGGCTTTTCTTGATTTGTGATTCCTTCTCGCTCAAATGACCTCTTGGAGCTTGCACTTTTTCTGCTTGAGCGTGAACAAGCTCATGTTGACCCCCACATCTTCCCAGGAATCGCCTTGCCAAACTGGACACCAGACATGGATATGTACCTTCCGCTTCGGGCGAGCTATCTTTGGCTCAACTGATCCTTCACCAAGTGGGCCCTAGAGACCAAGTGGGCACTAGGCGCCACCAGCCCGCTCGATGTGGGTGGCTCATCAACTTTCTTGCGGCTCACTACGGACTGGTTGAAAGGAACACCAAAAGGAAAACTGCAACCTTCTTGCTTTTTAGGGGGGGCAACACGTCCCGTATTTCAGAGACCCAAAAACACACGGAAGCTCCCAAGATCATCCCAACCTCGCTTGAGAGTCCAGAGTTCGAGTCTCTTCCAAACGGGGCTCCGAGCCCCGCCCCCCCCCCCCCCCCCGCCCCAAATCCCTCGACCCCCTCCTTGTACTGCGCCTTGCTGTACCACGCATCATCCTTTGCCTGGCGAGAACGGAGGTCTCATCCCATGCCAAGGAATCTGTGTCAGGGCAAGGGTCATCGAATGTACCCTAGTTTAGGGGCCCAGAACCTCCCACAACTGGGATCCTCTCCCTTCTGGAATCTTCCAGCCGCTTTGGATGGTGCTTTTGTTGGCATGCGAGAAAAAATGACCCAAAGATCCCTCGAGGCTCAAACAGGATACCCCATCTTTTGTGGATTTAAAGGGAAACCAGCAGGAGAACCATCATTTTGAGACGCCGAAAAGAAGACACGCCGAATCAAATGCAGGCAGGTTTGCCACAGCTCGAATCACACATCGGCATCCGCGTCTTGAAGACTCGAAGAGACGTTTGTCTCATGCCAGGTGTGCCGTTTGCCTCTTGAACACGGACCCCCAGAATGGGCTAACGCTTTCAAGAAGCGGTCCCTGACTTCTTCTACAAAGGAGGTTTATCCAGGAGTGGGCGGAGTTCCAGATTCCTTTGTCTTCTTTTTCGGGGCATCGCCTTCTGGGTCTGTAAGGATTCGGTGCCGTGTGCGTCCGCGCATGTCAACAACGCACGGCGAGAAAGCTGCCTCACTTGCCAAGTGGCCATGGAAGAAGGAACGCTTGCCCTCTGTTACGTGAGTGTCGCAACGAAATCCGCAAAAACAAAACAAAAAACAGCTCAACTAGGTTTTTCAGTGGAGAGGTTGGAATAAGGGTACCCTTTTTTCTGTAGCCGATTTTAGCAGGGGACCCTCCCCCAAAAGAGTTGGGAGAAAGGGCACTACTGGGGGACCTGGTCAAGATGTTATTTTGCACCTGGACCTGGGCTGTCCTCAGATCCCCTGCTAAAAGTGAATAACTGGTGGGCTAAATGGAAATCCACTAAACCAACTAAAAACCTGAAGAGTGCGAGGAATCGAACGGCTGGGAACCACCAAGGGAACCCACGGAAAATCAACAAATTATTCATGAGGAACTGGAAGCCACGGGCCAACAGCAACTCGAACCGCAACCGAACACGGTCGCCTCCTCTCGGGACCACTGCTGTCCCCAGTCCTCAGCGCGCTGCAGAGTGGGCAGCTGGCGCCGCGCGGGTAAGTGGACAGGAGGGGGTTGGAAGACCCTCCGCAACAAGGCCCCACGTCCATTGGAAAAGACTAAGCATGAAACTGTTGGCCATCTGAACAGTCGCAGTTCTTCGAGGAAGCACGAGCTTTCCGGGACTATCACCAAATGCGGAAGGAAAACACGAGGTCCATTGGGCCCTGTTGACCAAGAGGGCCAAGAGGGTGTGTGTCAAACTCAAACTCTGGCCTCACTTGCTCTCTCAGAAAGGGTTGATCTTTGATCCAAACGCGGGAATCCTCTCCGGCCCGCTTGAAGTGCCAGGGTGCTTTCCGGAAGAGGAAAAGCATCCCTTCAGCCTTGAACGCCCAAAAAGACGTTCGGACCACCTGCGCATGGTGAAAGTCCGCTTGTCTTCAAACGAAGATCCATCTGCGTGGTTTCCCATACTTCCAAAATGTAGTTCGGACCTTGATTATGGCCAGAGCTGAGAGAAGCTATCAGGCAGGAATGCGGCCCTTTAAGATCCGACGTTTTGTACAACCACCCTGACCATGTGATCAAGCGTCCAGCGACCAGGCCTTCGTCTCCGAGAGTCACAGGCGTTCCTGTGCCTTTTGGACCCCCCCCCCTTTTAGGAAAATGAAGGGAGACCCTCAAAGTGTAGAAAACCTTTGAGAGACATCCCTCCATTCTCCCAGGAGGGATCAAAAGGCCAGGATCCTCCGTACGGATTTCCACTTCCGCTCATCCGACCCAAAGAGTTGCGGAGTCGCGGAGTCACGGCAAGCACGGCTTCCATGAGGTGTGTCACCTGATTCGGGTGGTCTCCCCCAACCACCAAGGGATCCATCTCCAGCCAAGCTGCGCCCGAAGGCTCGGGTTGCCATGGTCATGGCTAGGCCAAGCGGGACATTTTGCCTCCCGAACCAGACGGGCATATATTCTTTTGTTGAGGGCTCCCCCCAGAAAAGTGGGCTTTCCTTTTGGCCTCCTTTTAAAAACGCCAGCAAAAAGGGGGTCCTCTCAAAAACGACACAAGACTTTCCGCAAAAAATCCCTGAGAGCTTGCGGTGCTTCTCACCCCCGAGGCCATCTTGGCTTTGCCAGGCTCCGTTTTCTTTGAAGCGCTGCTCTGGCCAATCCCAAACCCCCAGGTGACTAATCGGGGGGGGGGGGGGAGCATCCCATGTCCTATATTAGATAGAGGTGCCGATTTTGGAGGGCATCCTTCATTTTTCAAGGGAAGAACCCGAATGATCTGTCGAGTTCGGCAACCCGGGTCAACATTAAATGGGAAGCCACTAGGATCGAATGCTGCGAGCGAAAACAAAACGACACCTTGGAACACAGGAACCATAGCTGAAACTGCGCACCACTGCAACTGCAAGGAAGCAAAAAACGAAACACCTGAGTTTTGTCCACTAAATATCGAAAACTCCAAGAAATACACGGACGATAAAGGAACAAAGCAGTCGAGACATGAAACACAACTGGCGCATAGATTCTCTGAACATGTGGACACCATATAGTTCAAACATTATCTGGGCAAATCGCTGTAATGCCCCCAAGCTGGAAATAAGGGAATCCCAGTGGATGAGTTCGTGTCACCAAATGAGCTCGCTGACCTTCAGGTTGAAACCAGCATGCCAACCATTTGGAGCGTCCACCTCCTTCAACACATGGCCAAGTGATTGCAATCAACGCACAGCAGCGCCAAGCGAAACTGAAGTTGCGGAGTTTCCGGACTGCTCCAAACAAATCCCACGCCAGCCATTTGAAGATGACATGAAGCCAGCAACGGAATCATCAGAGCGAGCCCTTGAGCGAGTGGTGTGCCATACTGAAAGGCAAGCAAATCGCCGTCCCGCCAAAGCAGTTGTCCATTTCGGATCGGTACACTGTCTGACCTATCGACTTGCCACCTGCCATCCTTGAAGTAGAAAAATTCAAATCCCAGACATTTGGCGGGGAATCATCTGCGTGAAGGCCTGTCCCCGAGGCAGACGACGCTGGGACAATCTGGCCATCACTCTGCTGTACCTCTGGTTTGGATCCTTTTGGACCTGGGATGAGAATCCCCACACTTGATGGCAATATCCACAAGGGAAGACATACGACGCAACGCTGGCATGGAAGCCGAGGTCCCGAAGAAACGCAAACAAATCGCTCGGGCTTCTCACAGGGCTGTAAGTTCATCGCCTGCTTACCGGTATTCGGTGACTTGGCTTCTCAATGAATTTCACGTGTCCTGATGGGTAACCCCTCTTGGCAAAATTACTCCGTGGTTCACAACTCCTTTTCAAAACGGATCTGCATACTTCCATGGTGAGTCTGTGTCCAGAAATATATGTGTGAACAACTCCTGCTTGAATTTCCTGCACCCAAACCTGTAGTCTAAGCCTGTACGGGGATCAAACTGAGTTGCTTGTTTGGGGATTTCTGAGGCAGCAACTTGGAGCATACTTTGTCTCCTTGGGAACGGTCTCCTGTCAGGGATCAAGCACGTAGCTTCTCTTAGATACGCCATGGTGAGGACAAACATGCGCGCGCACAGTCAACAGTCCTTGTTGGAGACCCGTCGTGGTGCGAAGTCCTGGGCAACATGTCTGGTCCCACGCCACCATCTTTTGCCAAGCTGTAGGCCACACAGAGGCAAGTGGCAGAAAATCAGCCGAACACAATGCCCCTCTCTCCTGCTGGAAGTCGCTGGCTCATTGTTCAGGCACGGCAATCCACCCGGCGGCAGCACCTCAGCTTCGACGACAAAGCCTCTTTGAATGGGCACCTGATCAGTTAGCTAAAAAATCTGTTGCGCCCTCAAGTACCGCAGCAAGCCCGGCACTTTTAGCGCAAGCAACGAACTCATCGCGAAAGGCGTCAGCAGTGAAACTCAGACCGCACTTGTTCGCTCCATCCAAAGCGCCAGCAACCTTTTTGCTCTCGCAAGCAAACACGCACGCGCAACTCCATGAGCTCGGAACGTCCCATCGCCAAAGCCGACGCCCCTGCGGCACTGTCACAATGCTTCTGGAAAGACGTTCTGGAATGAGCGGCTCACTCTTTAGCCCAAATCAAAACCATGGCTCACCATCAGTCAAGTTTGCTTGTGGTGGGGCCAGTCGTCTCGCCCCTCCCTTCATCAGCAGTCTCCTTGGTCTTTCTCACCTCTTCGCTCAAGCATGGCAGCTAGGTGACGGCAGCGGTGGTGAGGCAGAGGGTGTCTTGGCCGGGCGCTTGGCTGTGCTGCCAGGCTCTGTCTTCGCACTCAGCGCATGCGCCTGTTCAATACGCTGAGCATCTGCATGAATGCGGGCCCGCCAAACGCTACATCCAACGCTGGCATCAAAGCTGAGGCGTCTTTCAGCGACACCCGGCGCTAGCTCCAAGTGTTTATAACAACAATTCTTCCGGCCAGCCTAGGTGTTCGCGCTGGGTTCCGCAAGCTTGAGAAAGGCCGTCTGTCCGGCATCCCCGGCTTCTCCTTGGCAAAATAGCTTCCAGCTCGAGACTTGTTCTTCAGCTAAAACCGGCCGCCTCCCCGGCATCCCCCGATTCGGCCCCTTCAAACCTGAACAAGCGCCGCCAGCCTCAAGACTTCCCATGAACTTCTTCAGCTGCATGCCCCGCAAGACGCCAACTGGTGAAATTCAAGCTCCCAAGGCGCTAGGCGCTGGGCCCTTCTTACAACAAAAGCCCAACAGAAAAGGAAAGAGAAAATAACAGAAAAGAAGACAAATATGTGAGGAAGAAAGAAAAGAAGAAAAAAGAAAGACACAAAGACAGAAACAAAGAAAGCAAGAAAGCAAGAACGCAAGAAAGCAAGAAAGCAAGAAAGCAAGAAAGCAAGAAGGCAAGAAAGCAAGAAACAAAGAAAGAAAGAAAGAAAGAAAGAAAGCAAGCAAGAAGCCAAAAAGAGCTGGGAAGAGAAAGAACAGTAGCATGACAAAATGAAACCTGCGTAGAAGACCGCAACATAATACACAAAGATGAGCAAGGAGGGCGGTCAGAAAAAGAGGAAAACTGAGGGAGTGACTGGAAGCAGAGAAAGGAGAAAGAACCATGACAGCAGCAGATACAAGGAGAGAAGGAGAGTCAAAGGGATAGAGAGAGAGAGAGAGAGAGATAGCGAGAGGGAGAGAGAGAAAGAGAGAGAGAGAGAGAGAAGAAAGAAAGCACAGAAGAAGGGGACAGCAAAAGGAACGAGGAAAGCATGGGAAAACGAAAGAAAGGCCGGAGGCAAAGGAAGGAAAAAAGAAAGAAACAAAAAAAGAAAGAAAGAAAGAAAGCAAGAAAGAAAGAAAGCAAGAAAGAAAGAAAGGAAGGCAAATTCAAAACAAAAATAGAGGAGATTCAGCAGGAGAAACAAGTCCGCCGACCCCTCCGGCTGCCAGCCTCAGAGGGCTTAAGGGGCTGCGGCGGCTGGCAAGAAAAAGGGTTCCCGCCGCATGGCTGTAAGCGGCCGCCAAGAAACACCAGCGGTCTGACTTCTGACTGTTGCACTGCCAGCGTCAGAACACGCAGAAGGATCAGCATCGAATCAGAAACTTGAGCAATTCCCCAAATCCGCAAAATGCCCTGTCTGTTTGGGGGAATAGACAGACAGCGTGGGTTGTTCCAAAGCCACCTCCCACGCAAGTGAAATCATCAAACAATAAACATCTGTCGAATTGAATCAAACTAACCTGCAAGCTGAGGAGCTTGCCAGGTGTCTGCCTGGGCACAAAGTGTCAGGGCACACACACGCACACACACGACTTTGACTCCTGCCGCGCTCTCTTACCAAGCCCCTCGTTCTCCGGGCTTCAAGTGCCCCAGGCCTGCGTCGCAGACGGCCTATGCGACACAAGAACCAAAATCAAACAGGGCCCTAAAGCCAAAAACAATGGAAAAACGAGCTGTCTTAAAATGCGGGACTCCAAGTCAAACAACGTCCTCAAATCAGGAAAGATGAAGAAAACCACACGAGGGCAACCTGTTAACGGAGATCGGAAAAAGTGTGCTGGCGCTTTGGAAACTCCACAGCATGCGCATCAGCGCAATCAGCCCGGCCATCCTGAGGACACCATAGAAGGCTTCGTTGGGCTCAGCTCTCCCAGTCGCGCAAACAAGCAAGATCTCGAGCTTAGTTCTGCTGCGTCCCTGTTCACCGACCGTGGAATTGCTGAGCGCGCGTGGCAGGATTTCCTGGCTTGGGCAACTGCAACTAGCAGCCTGGGGTGTCCTTCCTCTTGGTGCGCCAGTATCAAAAAATGTCTTTTTGAGAAGTGGCACGTCCACTTGATGTTGCAGTTCCTATTTGCCTCAGAAAGCCGCAGCATGCACCTCTTCGTTTTCAACGGCGCGCGGCCGAACGCCAGATGTTTCCGGGGAAGGCATTCCAAAAAGCATTTCCAGAGGTCTGGGCTTCGCGCGCCCTACTTCTTTTTTGCAAACATCGAGTTGCGAGGGCTGCGCGAAACAAACATAAGAGAACTCTGGCCCGAAGGTGCGCTGCTAGATCCAGGTGGAAGGAGTGGGACAGCTAGCCCTAAGCCTCCATCCTCTGAGCACTGCAGGACGAGGTCATTTCCTGGACGGACGAGTGTCAGAAGCCTCCCAGGCGCAATAAACCCGTTTGGGGAATAGCCTCTAAAGAGAGAAACTGAAGCCAAGATTTGGGCCCAAGCCTTCTCGAGGCGCCCTACCCCCGCAGTCGTTGCAGCAAGAGCCAAGAAGCCGAATCAGCAGCGTCGGAGTTGTGACCAAACCACCGATGCAAACACGCTCTCACTGTGTCCAGGATACTTCCTGAGCCAACAGGATTCCCTCCAATTAAGAACTTTCCAAGGCGACCCTCCTAATCAAGAACCCTCCAAGATGACCCTCCTAAAGAAGAAGAACCCTCCATGACGCTCCAAATCAAGAGATGACTTTTAAAATCAAGAACCACCCTCAAGAACCCTCCAAGATAAACCTCCACATCAAGAACCCTCCAAGACGATCCTCCGCTCAAGAACTGGCCCTCCTAAATCAAGAACCCTCCAAGTGAACCTCCAAATCAAGAACCCTCTCCGAACCCTAAGAGTCGGGGTAAGCTTTTGAGGTCAGAAGTGTCCCTGTATGAATCACTGCTGACTGAAGCGTTGAACGAACAATGGCAAGTCTGGCTTTATGGCGGTCAATGCGCTGTTGGGGAGACTTGCAAGAATCCAGCAATGGCTGTGGTGATTGCCCAACTCTTCGCGCTGCGGTTCAAAACAAGCTGACCGGAATTCATGGCTGGCACACTTTTGATAATCTGCAATCCCAGCTACTGCATGACCTCGCATTGCTGGCAGAAACGCTCTGCCAAGCTTCAAGCCCTCAGCCATAGCGGGTTAAGAAGGGCTCCACGTTGTCGAACGACAAACAGGAAAGACAGAGAAAACCACAAGAGAACACAAGAGCGCAACCGATTTTTGCAGATCAGACAAACGCAGCAAGCACACTTAGTGCGTTTAAAATTTCGAGGCAGGCGTGCCCAACCGACTGGCTGTTTTTTGCTTGGGTTTCCACAGCCCAAACCCAACAACGTCAAAAAACACAAACACAAACACAAAAGCGCAAGGCAGGTTGACAACTTGGGACGCCAATCCAAGCCTTCGTCAAACTGTTCAATCGGGCAACAGCGAAGGGAAAAGAGGGCGTCATGTTTTAGACAGACTGGTCAAAGGTCCAACGTAACGTGGTTTCGTCAGCCTCGGCCTGTGATCTTTCCTTCATCTGAAGCTACTCGTCAGAGCCAGCCTTCCTTGAAAACCCAATTGCAAGTTGGCCTCCACGCGGCCGCTGCGACACCTCACCAGTCTTTCCAGCAAGTCAGCTCATCTGCTTTCTGCCACCACCTGACCAACTGCGCGTGAGAGTCGCCCCCGACTGTCAGCCGACTTTTAAACGAGCCTTGTCAAATCACCAAATGCTTGCGAAGGTCCGAAAAAGGCGAAGTGTAAACTGCGTTGCGGCTTCAGAAAAGCATGCGAAAAGCAATCCAAGCTCCGCAGCTCTGAGTTTGGACTTGCCCTTGGATCAAGCCATCAATGCTTTGTTGGGCGCACCGATGGCGTGTCCTGCGCGCATCTAAAGGAGGTTCCAAGACATCAGATGTTGCAAGCACTCGTGCGTAAAGAAGGGGGTATTGAAAGGCTGCTTCGCAACAAGTGCACCAGCAGTTTAGTTCCGCAGTTTCCAAGTGTGATCCTGCACGTTTGAAGGACCCCAAGCCAAGCGAGAGTTTGAGCCGGCCGCTGTGTAACAAAAGAAGACCCAGCAAACCTGGAATTTGCGCAAGCATACGCGCACTCGTTCCTGGCTGCCACGGAAGGTTTTAACCCTCAGCACAGAACTGCGAACAACACCTCTCGGCAAAAAACCTTTGAGGGTAAGCGTGTTGCGCTCATCAACAAGACCGAAGGTTTTGCAGGCAGAATTAAAAGAGGCTTAGTG